AGAGCCAGCCTTTAGTGCTTCTTTGTTTCTCCATGATTTCTCCATCTTCGTCTTACCTGCTCCATCTTCTGTCGCCCGCCTGCGATATCATAGTGACATCACTTACTAAATGTGATAAAAATGGGATTACAACGAGCCATCACTCTCAGCAGCTCTTCTTCGTCTGACTCTAACTCACCCTCACTGTTCTTGTCTGCATCTTCATCTCCCAGAAAACCATCATCATCCTCCCCCACCCTGCGGTCATCTTGGGTGTTTCCCGAGTTTGTCGATGCCCTTCTTTCCTCAGGATGACTGCTACTGTCTGCTGTCCCGTCGAGACGCTCTGATTCTATTTCATCCAGTGACGTAGAGGGTTGGTACACCTCTGTGCTCAGAGCTACCGCCGTTCGCTCTGGTGTTTCTGGTGGCGTCTCAGTGGGAGAGGTATCTATATGTACCAATGTGGCTTTTAAAGGGACATCCTCTGGGGTGGGTGGGGGTGTGCTTGTCTGCCTGGGGATGGACAATAAAGGCGAATATGAGGGTGTCTTCACGCGAGATTTACGAAAGGGTTTGTCAATTTCTGCTGAAGCGATTCGGGTACGACTGAATGGAATACTGGATTGAGAGGAGGGGCTAGTTGTTGGGTCAACAAGATCATCATTGGAGCCTGTTTGCATATCCGGGCATGTTACAGGTGGAGTTGTATCAGCATCATCGATTTCAGGGCTTGGGCTGATGTTAGATTGTTCCTCAATAGACTCCGAGTTTGATTCTGGTGGGATAGCGGGGGTTTCGTTGGGTGGAGCAGCACCCTGAGTTTTATCTGTTGGGCTCACATTTGCAGGGGCTGTAAAAGTGGGCGAAATGCAAGATATGTTGGTTGGTGTAGAAACATTATTGTCGAAGGTTACAGTTTCAGTGGGGATGGAGCTGGTGTCAGGTACAGCTGTATCTGTGGGTGGGGTCGGTTCTTGACAGGGGGTACATCCTTGTTGGATGTAGATTCCTGAGTTTTCAGTAAAGCTGAAGGAAGGATTGTAAGTTCCATATTCTTCACTGCTGTAGGGTACTTCCTCCGTGTGTGGCATAGTATTATGATGACTCATCTGAGGAGTGATTACATTCATCAGATCAACACACAGAGGAATGAAGCTACTTTTTGCACAGAGACACAAAGACGGTGCAAGCAAATCATCCTGAGCAAGATTATTTGAATATGCAGATTGCCCTCGAGTCTCACAGACTTATAAAGTCCTCTGAATATTCAAATACTGTATAAACTTTAACATTAGAAATAGTAGATTCGACAAACAGGGTCCATGTGACATTTCTTGACCACACCTTTTGTGCGTGTTATTCTGTAATAGGACGTTTGAGTTAAATCTGCAGATGAAGGCCATGAGATGGGGTTGGAAATTTTGGAACTAGTGAGGAAGTTGTATCTTGTATTTACATGAATTTTTATAATTTATTCAGTTTTGTAAAACCTGATCATTTACTTTTAGCAGAATTAGAAGAGTTCAGATGTAAAGCTGTAATTAAATCCCTTAGTTGGTTTTGGATAGAAGATAAATATGCTATAAAAGTAACATTAAAAGGACAAGCAGTTTTTACTAAAGGAAAAAAAATGTGGTGAGGATACAGATAACTCTAAAACAAAACAAACAAACAAATAAACAAACAAACAAGAGACCACTCACCTGCTGGAACCACCGTAAGCTCTGTGGGAGTAAATGCCAGAATATTTTGGATCACATTCAGACAAATAAAACAATGTTAATTTTAATTTTAGTAAATATTTTAGTCATAAATTATCTTACGACATTGGGATGTTTGCCTTGTGCTACACAGCCTCTCTCCAATGGGCCTCTCTTTCCCTTCTGTTTCTTCTTCAGCCACATCAGTATAGACAGGACACATCCAAGTGCAGTCATAAACACCATGCTCAGAAACAACGCTTTGCCCACTGTGCAGCCGATCACGTGATCACCTCGCAGTGGACCATAGGGGACTGAGGCAAACAAAGTAAAACATGAAGAGCCTGTTTTAGTCTGCAGGATTATTAGCAATCAGCAGTGTATACACGTGTGCAGATGGGTCACCTTACTTGGTTGCCCTTCAGGTAACACCTGCACAACTACGGTAGCAAACGTGGCATCACCTGATTCCTGATCTACAGCCATAACCTGCAAAGTATTTTAATGACATCATTATCTTATTTACATGCATCTTTTATGAGACTTTCGTGGAAGACAGAGGGCAAGTGGAGCACAGAAAACATGATTCACATAGACCTAATATAAACTCGCCTATGTTATTAGTAACTACAGGGAGACACTTGTTGTAATATTTTAGCCAATTAATAAAGCATTCTCATAGCTTATTTTAGCTTTTATTTTGAAAATCTCATCAAAAGCATCTTCATGAGGAAGAAATAACTTTGCCGAAAACATCCCATGGTGTGATTTTTGCTTTGGAGCAATAATTTCCTGTGATTATTTTGTTCTTCAATTGATTTTACATTGTTACATATTGGTTACATTTCCCCCCACCAGTTCTTACTGTGTTTCTACACAATTTAGTATACAAAGACAATGTTATTGAATATATATGAACTATTTTATACTACTTTATTTAAATTCTCTGTAATGTATGATTCAATTCAAACAGTTGTTTAAAAAGTGCTAAATGTAAGTAACACAACATAATGTTTGTAGCCTGTACAGTTTCGAGGCTCACCTCCAGAACATATTCCTGTTCTGGTTTGAGTTCACTGGTCTTGGCTATCAGGAGTCCCTCCTGTGTGACTTGATAGATGTCTGTGTGATTGGATGTGGGATTGAAGGTGAAGTAGATCATTGGATTGAAACCCTGTGAGTTTGTAGAGAAAAAAGGTGACGCATTACAGACTGCACTGACCATCGGCAGCATGGTTGTATCTGTGCATGTCACAGTGCATACTTGGTTAAAATCTTGGTCGTGTACATGTAGCACTAGTGCTTTGCTACCGTAAGTGTCGACCAGAGAGGCTGGACTTTTTCCTGCCACTACAAAGCCACGATATTCAGGCTTGTCAAACTCTGGAGGAAACTGGTTCGCTGCCAGAACTTGGACCAACACTGTAGCAACAGAATACTTCCTGGGGTCGTTATCCTGATATGCCTGGGTGAATGACATAGAGACAAAAAGCCACAGTAATGAGATTGGTACTGAAGAAGACGTCATACATTTTAAACCTGCCACTTACAGTGTGTTTGAGCCTTACCATGACCCGAAGACACAGCAGTGGAGTTATGAGCCTGTCTCTCACTCCTCGAGTGAGCCTCGTCTCACCTGTCAGCCTGTCCATCGTGAAATGTTCATCATCATCTCCTGCAACCCAGAAAAACCCAGTTACAGATACAAACACAGAACATTTTTAAATACTGATTTGTGCTGCTGGTTATCTTACCTGACAGGATGGTGTAACTCAGTGAAGAGTTGAGTCCTCTGTCTCCATCCACTGCATGAATGGGACCAGGAGAAAAGTCCAACAAAATGTCCTGCAATATTATACATATTTGTTCAAATCAGCTCTAATAAAGTAGTAACCCAGCCACTGGATCTGAGTCTTGTTTGAACTGTGACAGGGAATTACAAAAATGCCAGATAACATAAAATTCTTTTGATAGAATCTAAATAAAAAAATAAAGGAAATTCAGCTTTTTTTTTTTAAAAATTTAATATCCTTTGTTTTGTTTTTTAAGAAAATAAAGCTCAGAGCATTATCTTGGGTGTTTTGATCTGCTAAAACTAACATTTTGGACTTTGTCAGCTTTACGTTTACCAAGCTCTGAGCGACTGATAGCCACACACTGTGTAGCTCTGATGACATGTGTGTGCCATCTGTGAGGGAGGGTTTAGCACCTGACCTCTTCCCCCTCAGTGACGTTGACCGTGTACACAGGGCTGGTGCAGATTTGATTAGTCTCCTGGAAAAGCCACGTGCAGGGCAGGAACTGTGGGTATTGGTCATCTCCATCTTGGACAGTGATGGTGGTACTGGTGCTGATATTGTAGTGCTCAGCAGTGTTCATTTCCTGAAATAAAGACAAGTCAAATATATTACACTGGTCATGAAGCATGAAATACAGTGAAGCTTTTCTTACAGTCTTACAATCAGGAGAACCAGTGAATCAAATCTTGATTTTATTTTTTATTTTATTTTTTGGATAAAAAAACAATCTAGCAACATATGTATATATTTGCACAATTACTCACATGATTAGAATTAAAGACATATAAATTAAATAAATGTACATACTGAGGCATAGATGGTGACAGTAAGCACAGTTTTGGTCTCATAGTCTAGAGGCTTGGCCAGCACCACCTCTCCACTGTTTGGTAGATCAATTTTGAAATATTCAGCATCAGGCTGTGGAATACACACAAATACATAAACAATGATAAATTGTTTGTTTATGTTTCCAATTTTTATTTAAAAGGTAGAAAAATACAACTTACGGATGCCTGGTCAATTGAGTAAATGATGTTGTCATTATCGGCATCTGTGGCCTGGACAGTAAATACCACAGTATTCACTGCAGTCAGCTTGAAAACACAGACAGGCAGAGAAGCACTTGAGGCAGCAGGAGTGGAATTTTTATTGTAATATACACATGCAGAGATTTGCGTGCGTGTATTTTTGAAAGCACTATACCTCACTGATAATAAGAGTCTGGACTGTGTTTTCTGCAAACACAGGTGAATTATCATTCTCATTAAGAATCTTCACCAGGACGCTGTAAACACTCTAAAATAACAGCAAAAAGACACACATATATTCAGCTTTGAATCTGGAATGATACAAAGAGGAATTATGAGTAAAATGATGGAAGACAGTGTACCAGAAGGATGCCGTCCTCATGACATGTCAATTCAGCTATTAGGATGGGTCCCAGTGCCTAAAAGATGTAAAACAAGAGGCGACAGGCAGAGCTATTCATTCAGTGATATGATAACATTGTTAAACATAGCTGTCAAAACCACACATTTCAAATGGAGTCCCTTTCCAAATCAGAAACTTTGTAACCAGAGTCCATCAAAGACACTTATAGAGTTAAGCAGGGTTGGGCCTGGTTAGTACTTCTGTTGATGTTCAGGGTTATTTTTCAAATCTTAATTTAGGCTATTTCTCTTTATTCAGTAAACAGGACATAAGAGTCATGTGAGCACTCAATACCTGTCTAATAACATTAAACATTAATTTGTATAAAGGGATTTTAAATCAATTTAAAAGAATAGACTTGTTGTAATCATAGTTTTTAAGCTGATTTGTGTTGAGTTTTTGAGTTGATTATTAAATATGTAAAGAGTCTTTCCATTCTATAATGATTTATATAATATATAACTTAGATTTGGTCTGCATTTGGATAACTTAATGCTATAAAGTATGAAATTATAACATTTATTTCACTGCAGCAATTGCATATTTAAAATAAACACATAGATATGTGGAGATTTATGCATTGACCGCTTTGTTAGGTGCTGCCTGTAAATACAAGCTAATCAGCCAATCACATCAGAATGGGGAAGAAAAGTGATTTAATTGATTTTGAACACAGCATGGTTGTCTGTGCCAGATGGGCTGGTCTGGCGTCAACAATAAAAAAGAAGAAAATAAAATCCCTTATTAATGCCAGAGGTCACAGGAGAATGGGCAGACCATGCTGCCCATTCTCCTGTGCCAGAGGTCACAGGAGAATGGGCAGACCATGCTGGATTTTGAAGCAGATGGTTACAGCAGCAGACTACACCTATATCTGTCAGCTGAGACTACAGTTTGCACATTTTTAACAAATTGGACAACAGAAAATTGGAAAAACGTTGCCTGATCTGATGATTATCAATTTCTGCTGTGACATTCAGAATTTGATATAAAACAACATGAAACCATGGATCCAGTAATTTATGTTAGTGATGGTGATGTGATGGTGTGGGGGTATTTTCTTGGCACAATATGGTCTCCTCGGTATCGACAGATCATTGTTTAAATGTCACAGTCTACCTGAGTATTGTTGCTGACCATGTCCATCCCTTTATGACGACAGCATACCCATTTTTGTTGGCTGATTCCAGCGGGATAATGCACCATGTCACAAATCTAAAATCATCTCGAACTAGTTTTTTGAATATGAAAGTGCATTCACTGCACTCAAATGGCCTCCACAGCTAACAGAGAACATTTGGGATTTAGTGTAACAGGAGATTCATATCATAGATAGATTCATATCATAGATGTACAACAATCAACAAATCTGCAGCAACTGTGTGATGCTATCATGTCATTTGTTCACAGATCAACCCATTTCCTTCTGTTTATTAAGTTCAGGATTGTTGGGGTTATATCTATTATAAATATTATAGCTTCTTCCTTCTGAAGTCTGTGAGAGAGAGATAATCTAGCTGACCCATTAACAGTTGCCATGATGTAAGAGGATGACAGTAATAGAGGTTGGGTTTGGGCCAAGAAGGAGATAGTGAGGTTCAACATGTGTTTGTTCCAAATACAGTTTCCTTAGTGTGGCTCAAGGCCACTACAAAAAGTAAATTACACATCTAAATATTTCTGCCTTGTAGACAGCTCAGTTATCAGTGCCATTACCTCTCTGTCAAGCACCCGGTCAGCTGACGTGTTGAGCCGGATGTTGCTTCCATCCAAGAAAAACCAATGTGCATCCTTTCCAATTAGGCTCCACTGCACTCCCTCCATTGTGGTGTCAGCCATTAACTCAGCAACAATCTCTCCCCAAACTGTGTTTTCTTTGATTGCTGCAGATACATTCTGGCCGTCCAAACATCCACCCCAGCCTGACATTCCTGTGCCAAACACAAACACACACTTGAACACATAGACGGGGGGTTAAAGCTTCATTAAGTGTGACCTATAACTTAAGCTTTTGGCTTGACTGTGAGGTGGTTGCACCTGTGACTGTGCGAAGATACAAGAGAACCAGCAGCAAGCAGACTGGAGCCCTGGTAGTTGGTCCAGTGAGGGCCATTCCTGGGTTAGGACTCAGGAGCCAGTTCTGCCTGAGTCAAGGCAGAGAAAGAGCAAAAAACAATTAACTAAACATAGTTATTGTTATTAGTGTGTCACATTCAGTTATTCTATTTAGGTTAAGAGTGTGACATAATACCCAAACACAAATACACTCTACTCTCCTTTATACATCCAGTTTAATAAACTTAAATTGGGTTTCAGTTGGGGTTTCTTCAATCAGAAAGAGCAGACTCGTAATAGTAATAGTAATAGTAGTAGTAATAGTTAGCTACATGTTTCTCTAACATGGTTTCCTTACTTTTATTCCCAGTTCATCTACAGACATGTAATCTTAACTCTACTCTGTCAGTGCTGGTAATACTCACATGCCTCCTGTATCAGGGATTTCTAAAGAATTTTTTACTATTCATCAGTGTTCTCATTACATTGTCTTATATCAGAAATACTAACAACTCCCAATTTTTTTTTTTAAATCAGACTTAAGGAATCGCTGGATTTTTTTGGGATTTTTTTTTAGCAGCATCTCTACTTTGACCTTGTTTACTATACCACCAAATAGCTTAACTGTGGGTCTGCGATGCTCTTGAGTAACTGTTTGGATCTGTGAGCACATCCCACTGAAATAACAATTTTACTGCTTATATGAAGTAAAATAAACACACAGAAGCCTGCCTTTACACACACATCTGAACAGTTTGTTTTATAGATCAAGATTGATCTACCATCCACACTGTTTGCTAAACTTCGGCGGACTGACCTGTTGTTGTCAAATCCGCTGAAGCTAGTTGGTCAGTCTGCATATCCTCCTGACTTCTGATGGACGTGGCATGTCTGAGTCTCAAAACCCCAAAAATCCACCAAACATGGTTAAGAAAGACAGAGTGGCGCTTTCAAAAATAAAAATAAGTGACAGCAACAGGTAAAACACACACATACACACACATTGACACCACCCTCCCCACATACATTAAAAAGCAGACAGCAGCTTATGTGTGCCCGGGGATAAATGCCAGCTCAGAGGCTAAAGGCTGAGGGCGTGGCTTACCTGGCCAAAGAGGAAAACGCCAAAGAGATTAGAGATGACAGGAACCTGACAATGAGGTCAGAGACTGGGGTCACAAGTGAATTCAAGAGATTTGTATGATACTCTGAGACTGAGACTCTTCACCTTTATAGACATTGTGTCTGGCAAACTCAGCTGTCAGTTTGTTCCTGTATTACAGACCATAACAAGAACATCATTTTGTTTAGTACATTAGGTCTAGGATGGTCATACATAGATTTAAATTTCAGGCTATGAGATAGTTTAGAAATTTTTAAAAGATTTTAAACATTTTCTTTGGCAATACAGCTCGTCCCTGCTGGATTTGTTCAATTAGCAATTAATGTGTGACAACTAATAGACCCTGACAAGGGATTAGCTGTTCATCTTCTGGAGATTAACCCACGTGTCTTTACACACTTATCTCAGCACACCCATGCAAAAAAACAAACAAACAGAAAAACAGAACCTCCCAAAACAAAAAAAAAAGCCCAGACTAGTGACTGGCCCACCATGGTATTTTAGGAAAAGCCATAAAGCCTTTATAATAAACTTAAACCTACACCATCCTCCTTATTCTTGTATTCTAAACAGTACTTAGAAAAAATATATAACAACATAATTTATAATTACATATACCTAACTAATAGGGTTGCCAACTCCCAGCAAAAAAAAACAAAAGAAAAAAAATAGGGAACCACTCCCCCACCCTCTGCCTCAAGATGCTTAATTGACAAAACCGATTTTAATTTAATGCACGTATAAAACAAATGCACAGAATGTTTATTTTTTTTCTCCAGTATTTAAATAGATTCAACATCTTTCTTCAACAGAATTGTAGACTGCACAGATGGTACCTTCCCAAAGGAAAGAATACTATAACTTACTAGGGTATATACTAGACTTAATATTTACTGAATACAATAATGGATTTCTATACATTTTACATCAGATGAAAACTTTGGCTGTAAGATTCAGATAATTATTTATTAAAAGCTAGACATTTTAAATAACAATAAGGAAGAAAAGTATTTATTTGTGCCCCCCTTTCCCTGTTAATGCCCTACCTGCCCACCCTGGCAAAACTTTGCTAGACCCGCCCCTGCACAGCTACCGGTGTCAGCTACGTAAAAAAAAGGATCCTGGTGTTATTTGTCTCTCAGAAACAGTTCATAACTTCCCTTCAACTCATTCATGTCACCTAAAAGGTAAACCTGTTTCTCCATCACCTGTTCAGCTCTGATGATTCAATAAGGACATCTTCTGGTTTCATCTTCATGTTTCCCTCTCACCACATATACAAACGGATATCATGACCAGCAGCTTTACAGCTGTGGCTCCAGCAAACATCAGCTGATACCAGAAAGTAATATTAAATAAATTCTAATAACAGCTGATCAAGCTTAAACGTGTTGTTTAGACCTCCGCCGTTTTCCTCTTCCTGGCGCAGAGAGAAAAGCCGATCAGCTGATCATTGATCAGTTTCATGATTGAATTAGCAACTTTCTAGTTGAAGTAGTACGGGACAAATCGCGTTCCTTTTCACCTCAACTTTAAAGTTCGACCCCCTCGGCTGTAATTGGTCCAGTCCAGAGTCGATCATGACCAACTGGCCAATCCACCACTATTCATGTATACCGTTAAAAAAAGAAAAGAAATAAAAACCCCATCGGCCCATAAAAACGCAATGTGCCCGATGGCCAGTCCAGCCCTGAGTGACAGCCTCAGAGAGGGAAAAAATGGCTCAAGACTGTTTAATCTGTATTTTATGTGCACTATATATCACTATATCACAATAATTTTTCATATCATATGAATGTTCCTAGAAGCTTTCAATCGTATTAGTGTGTTTTAATAACTTAGAATATTCATTTAATATCAACAAAAGACTTAAACCGGATCAAAAAAGGTTATATTGTGTTTATCTCATCAGCCATGACTGAATATGGCCACTGGATGTCAGCAGAGATGTGGTTAAAATAGGAGGCAAGTCAAAGAGTTGACTTTCAAAGCTAAAGTACCCAAACATTTGCTTCTTTTCAGAATGAGTGTATTTTTCTAGTAATAGACTTAAATACTTTCTGTGATTAAGGGGAGGATAAACCATTTATAATTGTGCAATTGTGTTGCTTTAGATTCTCTCAATAGTAAAATTGTAAGTAAGTAAATTTATTTTATTGTGTTTTCGACTCAAAACAGCTTTATAGAGGTAAATAAATAAAAAGACAACTTCTGAAGATTAAACCTCATATCTTTAGACACTTGTCTCAGCACACCCATGCAAAAAAACAAAAAACAAAAAATACCCAGAACCCCCCAAACAATAAAATTAAGGAGTGTGTACACACACCTTTTGGGATGATTTGATGTGACATGTGTTTGGTGACTGACTCAGAGACTGTTTAATCTGTATCCTATGTGCACTATATATCACTATGTAATAATAAGTGAAAGGCAAAGTGGACAAGTAGCAGATCAGAGTTTCAGAGCAGGAACACCTGACTAAAAAATTGCCAACTGAAACTCAAAAGCATAAAGACATGATTTTAAGAGCTGTGGTGTGGATTTGTCCTTGATCCAACACAGCTGATTTAACACTAGAATTACTGAGCCTTTTTTTCCCCTGGTGCAAGTCCCTAGTACTAGATTTATTAGCCCTGCGCAAATTTGCGTAAATCCCCTGAACCTACCGGTAAGACCTCCTAGAATTACTGACTTTTTTATTTTCTGGTGGAAGTCCTGAGGTGTTAATCACCCCTGCTGAAGTTTTCACAGGTCATCAGCTCGATTCTCCTCCTGTTTTTGTTGTGCAAACCACCCATTATCTTTGAGGCCTGAAAAATTTGCATTTGTTCACTCAGAGTAGCTCAGATCCAAGGCAAGAGAAAAATCTGTGTTTACAACCCTACAATGGAGCTGAAGGCCTCTCAGCAGGGTGCTAGGAGGTGTTAGGTTCAGGGAATTTACGCAAATTTGCACAGGGTTAGTAAATGTAGTAGTAGGGACTTACAGCAGGAAAAAAAGGCTCAGTAATTCTAGTGCTAGCACCCCGCTGAGATTTTCACAGGCCTTCAGCTCCATTGTTCTCCTGCTTTTGTTGTGCAAAACACCCTCCCCCAACCAGGAGAGATTTGTGTATGTGTAGGAGTGGCATTGCTTGACTACAGCACAGTGCTGTGCATAAAAGCAGACTGACCAGGAGGGAGAATCATTTCTTCTTCGCATTTCTGACAACGCACATCAGGATGGCCTCCGTATCACTGCCACACAGGAAGAACCTCTCCACGCAACAGGCTTGGGCCTTGCTTCAGGAAATGGACGAAGCAGATTCTGATGGGGGAGAGGTTTCATTTGTCCAGCAGGCCACTGATACCTCCTCAGAAGAATCTGAAAAGGAGACGGAACAAGAACCCAACATGCCTCCTCGGAAGAGGCCCCGTGGTACTGGGAAGCCCAGCCAGAGCCACACAGCAAAAGAAGGCACTGTGTGGGTAGAGGAGGACAAGGGAATGCCCAGTGCAGGAGCAAATCGTTCGTGCTTCACTGCGCAAGCTGGACCCACAGAGTCTGCTAAGGTTTGTCACTGCCATATTACATATGATATTTATATAAACCCATTTAGAGTGAGGTTCATGTAAATTTACCATTCTCTATTTGTTTATCTT